ATTAGTATTACATGAAAAATATTTTGCAACTATATTCAATAGTTACATTATAAAAATCTATAGTAACATAAATTATAGATTAATATTAGAACTACAATTAGTTCAAAGAATAATTATTTTGAAATAAAAATCTCAAAAAAGAAGCTATGAGTAATCAATACGCATAACTTAAAATGTATACAGTCAAATAAAATGTTAAATAGCAAACAACACATTCAAATATACATATATTTATGTGATAATTTATGCTCAAATTTAGAAGAAAAATAAAGAAATAGGTGTATTAAATGCTAAAGTGTACCTCAGAAACATTTCAAAATACTTGAAAATAAAAATGCGTTTTAATAAAATATAATAAATATATGTTTAAAAGATGTTTTTTATTGTTTTTTAAAAATGATTTTTTCTAAAGTTGTATAAAACATTAAAAACATGTTTTAAACAAAAAACTGAATGTTTTATTTTCTTTAATACGTTTTGTTATCAACCTTGCTCCCTTATTCCACTCGGCGCACTGCTTCGGTCGCCTTCTTCAATATTCCAATGGTTTTAAACAAACTTTTTCGGCAGTAAAAAATTCGAGTTTTTCAATAGCAAAAATTCAAATCTTCCTTGACAAATTGGTACCAGAACTCTTAATCTTAAAAACTAGAGCCACAGTGATCTTTTAAAAAAAAATTATTATTTCGACTCCTAATAATCGGAAGTAATCTTTTTTTTAAATTCAGAAAAATGTCAGATTTCGAATGTTTCACACGGCTATTTGATGCACATTAACGAAATTATTTCCGTTTTTTTTATGCGAATCTCAAACATCTGCAGTTCTTTTCTGATGGTCTTTCGAGAGCTGTCTTTTCTGCTGGTTTATAATTTTTTTCCAGTAAAATTCTATTTCTATTGAACTATTCTTGCTACTTGAGTTTATGAAGGAGAAATATACTATATAATGAAAAATCGTAAACAAATACCTCGTAAACGTTGCGTTTAATCATGATACTATTCTATATATTATTCTGGATTAAGGGGAGAGGTATACTTTTATTACAATTTATTAAAACTTATATGTTATTTAGAATGCCCCCCGCCCTTATTGACGCCTAGGCCGCCAAGCGGCTGAGATTGCTGAGAAAGCATTTTTTGTCACTCGAAACAAGCTACTAATAGGAGAAGGAACTCGCTCATTCTCGGCGCGCCGGAGGTGAACACGGATGGGCTCGTGTGTGCTTGTTTATGTGTTACAGCGCTGCACCACGTTGAATGGCCGAACTTATAGGCAAAAGTGACGTTTTGACCACAAAATTTATATTGCGTGCCATTTTGTTTTTATTTGTCTAATTGTGAAAATGAGACTTGTACTTATCAAAATCGTAATTATCGATAAAAATTAAAATTATCTTGGAATTTTATATGTAAAAGCGTATATTTTACTTATTTCAACAGCTGTCAAACCGAATATGTTCGATAGCTGTGTTTCTGCCCGAATACAAGATCACTTTACGTACCTTCTGCAATCATTTACTGATTGTTAAAAGAAAAAAGGATAGTTTTCATCGATTTTTATAAGTATTTTAAAGTGATCTTTCATCATTTCGTTTCATCCAAATTGTCTTTATTTAAAAATGGCACGCAACATAAATTAACGTGTCATTCCTCACTTCTGATGTCACGATATCAATATGGCCGCCGCGACTAGTCAGGAGCTTTAAGAGTTTTAATCGGTTGGATATCTTGGATACTACTAAATCCGATAGTACTGCAACTTTCAAGCCTTATAATTCGAAAAATACTTAATGGAAGAGATTTATTATAGTGTTTTGAAAAAAAATTCTCGAAATAAGCCATGAGAATATATAATAAATTGAGGGTTCCATTAAAAAAATTCTCGAAGTAATCTTGTCATAACTTTGACCACATTACCCAAGGTTGAATTAATATACATATCCTTATATCCTCCTTGAAGTCCTAAAACTTTATGTTAGATTACTAATTAATATTAAATTTTAAAAGACGAACGAATACTGGCTGAAGTAATATTTTTCTACATGGTTACTGATATTTTTCTGAATACGGGCTGAAATCCACGAGTGTAAGACGGAGGAGGAGGGGGGGGGTGAAAGAGAGGAGTGGAAGAGGAGTGGGGAAGGAGTGTAGAGGGTGAGGAGGAGTGGGGGGAAGAGTGGAGGAGATAGGTGAGGAGGAGGGAGGAAGTACTTTTACCTGCAGAGCTCTGCTTTGCTACATCTAACTGAATTATTCAGTTGAGATACTAATTTAAAACTATCGAAATATTATTCTTAAAAATATAAATTATAAATTTAAATAAAAAAATTTCCGATGTTTTCAAATTTCAGGGGATGGTGCTCTTTTTAATGAAAAAGAAATTTTTGGAGTATTTTAAAAAGCTTTCAAAATAAACTATGAGAATGAAAAATGGGAATTCCCTTTAAAAAATTAAATGTGACCTTGCTTTGATCTTGACAATGCTACCAAAGATTAAACCAACGATCACACTTCTCTATCTGAAACATTTTTCAAGAAAATGTATTTTTCAAGAAATTGGCCT